ACTCGTATAAGCATCTAAAAAACTTCTTAAAGACTTGTATTTGTTTACACCTATTTACGTCTGTAGAACGTGCTTTTAGCATTTTTTGTATTATATACCAAAATGACCAAATCCCGGCTCAACACTTAAGTTAAATTTAAAATTTTTAGATTTTTTATTAATCTAGGTTAAATTGCTATCCTTTGAAAAAATTTTCTTGTATTTAAAATAGTATAGTAATTTTTTTCATTTCTAGATGTTTCAGTGTTAACTCTTGTTGGAGCTTGCTGATAAACCTAAGAAATTGATGTAGCAAGCTGAATAAACTTAGAAGATTTTAGATTGATTTTGATCGAAGGTATTGATTAGAATAAAACTTTCTTTTTTAGTTATTTGAGTATTTCTGAAATTAGATGCATTTTGCCTGTCCAATAATTTTAAATTTATAGTTAGAACATTTTGCGTCATAAAAAGTTATGATCCTATGTTCTGAAACAGCTACTTATGCAAATTTGATATATTTTGAAAAGTTTCATCTTTCTTAAATTTACTGGTCTAAGGTTTTCTGAAGTTGAAAGTGGCTTAGGGTTTCAGATTTCACGTGTCCTCGGTGTTAATAGTGGTATGTTTCGCATAGATCTTCAATAAAATCTGACATTTAACTGTGCCTAAGTCACCAAAATTAATGCTGAACTCTTGAATTGAAAATATTATAATGTCTGATTTGAATATTTTAATTATATTATATAGTTGCGTGTTTGCTAAATAAAAGTCCTCCATTTTACTGTCATGTACGTAACGATAACAGTTCACTGACAAAATAAGAAATCCCTTGGGTAGTTACCGTAAAAAAATGCTCTATTTCATTTTAAAGTATTTGCGTATTATTAGGAATCTATATATGAGCGGTAATAAAGGTAAATTTAATCGCGTTGTCATTTTAAAATAAATTTGATTCATAGCGTATGTTTTTGAATTGTCAGTCACGTAACGGTTGAATTTTTATTAAGATAAATATTTATACCTTTAAAATTTATATTATTATATACATTTTGTTGTTATTTATTAAAAAAATCACTATTGCATTGAATTGACTAATTCAATTTAAACGTATGAACAGAAATATAGTAAAAATGTCAAATGCTTAACAGCCATGTACGTAACATAGTTACGTTACGGACATGACGATAGCATAAACGTCATTTGTTTAACATGTGTAACACATGTTAAATAAATGACCGTTTATGTAAAAAACAAGTTTATTAGTTGAATAATTAAGAATTTTCGTATCAGAAATTTTTATTTTAAACCATAAGTATAGTTATTATTTTAAACCATAAATATTTTTTTATTTTAAACCATCATTTAATAGTTCTATTTTGCTGAATTAATCTGAATTACAATTATGGCAAAGAAGACGAAATCAAACCAGGAAAGGCAAATAAAATTTAGAGAAATAATCTTGCAAAATTCGAACATTATAAGAAGAAGGAACGAGAGCGTCAAATGCAGAGAAGAAAAGCTACAAAGCCGAAGACTGAACGTGAGCAGCGACGTCAACGGAAACAATGGCGAGAAACGCAGCAGAGCAAATGCAAAGACACGATTGACATCGGTAAACAATTTATGTATAAAATTTCTACCATCATTTCCTTCATTACCTAGTTCATCAACTCCAAACCACAATGAAACTAGGCAGAAAATTCTAAACTAGGCAGAAAAGGAACGAAGTTACTGATAAACAAGCTTCGAGTACAGGTAATGAAGCTAACTAAACAAGCCGATAAATATCAAAAGCGAACAGAAAGATTAAGTAAGAAATCATTAAACAATAACACGCCACGCAGTAAAATGATAAACAGGACCTAAGGTTTGCATGGGCGCCCTGAAATTAAAAGAGCACTTCTGTTTCATAATGTTTTATGCGATACCTTACGCGAAAAGTCTTCAGCAACCAAATCAGACAGAGAAAAGTTTGTCATTGCAAAAATGATTACATCTAAACTGATGAGGAAGTATGAACTAATGAAAACATGTCAGCATTTCACTGGCATTAGTACACGCCGTTTATCAAGAGTAAATTGCTCTCAATATCGTGCAAGATATAAGTCTACAGCGTTTCGTTATACATCTCTTGCATTCTATAAAAGAAATGATAACAGTAGGATAACTACCAGCAAGAGAGAAACTATCACGCATAAAAGTGAAAAAAAACAACGAAGACTTTTGCTAAGTACACTTTCAGACCTGCACAAAAAGTTTGCTGTACAAAACCCAAATATAAAAATTTTATATGCTACGTTTTGTGCTTGTAGACCATTTTGGATGGTAATTTCGACTGCACGTGACAGAGAAACGTGTCTTCGCAAGCTTCATGAAAATGGACAACTTATTATTAACAAGCTTTTTCAGCTGAAAATCTTGCCGTTAAATTGTATGACTGTTGGTAATTGTGTAAAAAAAACAGTATGCAATAATTTTCAAAAGAGTGCGTTTTGAGAACCTGTGAAAAATGTTACTTAAAAGATAAAGAATTACTGGAAAGAGAGTTTGATGTAGAACAACCATGCAAATGGCAGCAGTGGAACACAATCAGGAAAACAGGCTGATCAAAGATAAGAACACAATAGTAAAGAGAACAATAAAACAGGAAATTAATGGGACTGTTGGAGAGCGTCTTCACGTATTCACTAGTAGCCATCAGTTTAAAAATTATTGCATGCTGAAGTCTAGCCTTTCGAATAGCACTGCAGTAATAGTTGTTGACTTTTCAGAAAACTATACGCGTAAGTTGGAGAGAGCAGTAAGGTCATCTTAATTTGGTGCATCCAATAATCAATTATCCCTACACAACAGCGTTGCATACTTGAAGGAAGATATTGTATTATTTTGCACAGTGTCAGATTGCACCAAGCATGAGCCCGCTGCAATATGGGCTCATTTGCTGCCAGTTCTGCGTCATCTAAAAGAACATCATCCAACACTTACAACAATACATTTTTGGAGTAATAGGCCAACAACACAGTATAAGAACAAGCACCATATGGTGTAAACTTATTTATTTAATAATTGTACAATGAAAGATTTACAGGTAACAGCCGTAATTACTTTAAAGCTGGCCATGGCAAGAGCGCAGCAGATGCAAAAGGAGGCACTCTAAAACGTACCGCTAATCAAATAGCCAATCATGGTGTCATGATAACTTTAGCCTCAAATTTTATAAAAACTTTACACCAGAAGACAGTTATCAGGCTATTTGTTGAACATGTTGCTGAGATTAAATCCGATCTACTCAATACAGCAACAGACATTGTACAACTAGTTGCAGATGGGCAATCTCAAATATTTAGTCAGTCACACGATCTGATAAATGCTGATGGTGCTTCAAATGTCAAACAACATCCAATGACAGCTGAACTTATTATTCTCGAAGTACACAACTGGTGTAATGTTCAATACAATAATAGGCGTTACATTGGGAAGATACTTGACAAAGGTGCAGTTTCAGCTGAATGCGAAGTATCCACATTACAAATGACAGGAATGAATAAAATCAAATATCCAACTCGTGAAGACAAAAAATGGTTTAAATGGGATCAAATAATCAAAAAAACTTTACCACCGGTTGTAGTTTCTAAACGTGCAATGGCACTTAGTTAAGATTATTGGCAGAGCATAAATACATAGGATTAATCGGTGTTCATCATGTTTTCAATATATTGTTGACTAGTTTACTGCACTTAATACTCTCAATATTTTTTTTTTAATTTGCTTATTTCTAAGTCACTGTTTGAGTCATTTGAAAATAATCTTAAATTATCAAACAACAGTCATTTAAATCTGGTCAAGGTATTTACTTAAATTTCGTATATAAAGTTTTTGATAATTGTCATGAGAATGATGGCTGCTGACAACAAATAATACAGTAAATGCAACAAGAGTTTTATTAATGAATTGGTACCTTTGTCAACTCACTAAACGTAATGTTTACAATAGCCTACTGCATATATAAAGTAGTGATTTCGATAAAGTCCATCATTTAATATTGATATGCCATGTACGTACACAACGCACTGTCATGTACGTAACGCGATTAAAATTTTTGTTGCAAAATTAAACTTAAGTAAATGAAATTAAGTTTTGTTGGTTATTTGTACACACATAGGAGTTAGTTAAAAACAAATCAAAAGTATTTCTGCTAAAGTTTTATGCCGTTTATTTTGAGTGAAAGTAGTTTTTTGAAAACGCGCCTAATTTTGGAAATACTCATTTATCTCCTACTAAGAACATTAACAAATTAAAACAACTTGCAGCATGCAAGGACAATTCATTTCATACATGTTCGCACTAATAGTTCAAATTATAGATTTTAAAATAAATATGAAGCACAAAATAAACAAGAAGCTGTAGTAAAGGAGTTATTGGTTTTTATAAGCTTGAACAAGTAAAAGTTTTTATTTGTTTAAAATTGCGTTGCTAAGCATTGCTACAGAGTTCATTAATGTGCCATGGCAAATTAATGAACTCTGAAAAATAAAAAAAATTAACATACTTCCTAGTTTATTTATTACAAAAAATAAAAATCATAAATGTGTTCCAAAAAAAATTTTGAATTAAAAAAATCAATTTTTAAGAAAAAAATGATTTTTTCTAAAAATTTTGAAATTAATGGGGATATACCACTTTAATAAAAAAATATACCAAATCTCAAAAAAACTAAACAACAACGAACAAAATAAAAATATTTTTGCCAAACATTAACTTAACGCAAAAGAAAATAATTTCGAAATCAGAAGAGAAATTGTAAAAATCTGCAATCTTTATAAGCAACTTTTTATAAACAGAGTTAAGTTTAAATAAACACCTGATTTCATCAATTAAATAGGAAGTTTAAATCATTGATAAATATATAGGCTGTTTGAATTGTAATTTGTAAAATATTTAAACTAGAAAAACCTACGATGTATATACTGTCAAAGTTAAAGTTAATTTTACTCCTACTTTTCAAACTACTAGAGCTTTCCATTATATTATACTATAAAAAAAACACTTTATTTTCTGTTAACATGTTTTGTTTCATTATTTTTAATGACATAACTATCTAATCATAGTTCATGTTTAAAAGAATAGAGTTTATCTAATTAAAGTTCTCGTTTCTAATGACGTAATTATCAAGACGTACAGTGGAAAAAGACATTTGTCGCAAACTTATTTCTTTACTCGCGTAAAGTTCTTTATTTTCTTTAACAAGGTAATTTTGACGTAAAAATAATGCTGTTATTTTACTGAGATAATTCATAAAAATAAATTTAAAAGCAAAAAATGAAAAAGGTGCACCAAAGGAAGTTATGTATAATATATAAATTGCTGAAGAAGACGATCCTAAACTTCCTAAAAAGCAAAATATTGACCAAAATGGTAAATTTAAAACTTTAGCCAAAGTGTATAAATGTTCACGTTTGTTTTTCTTGAAATGCTTAACTGAAGCCCATTCGTGAAAGTATTTCTCTCCGGTAAGCAAACCATACACAACAATAAAGAAGTTTGAAATACTTGAAAAAAAAATAATTCCAGCTGAATAACGGATAGCAATATTGGTTTCAATATTATCTTTATTTGTAATAAGTAATACCATATTTCCAGCTAAAGGACAAAGACAGCAAAATAAGAGAAATGCTTTTTGAAGGTATAATACAACGCTGTTAACAGTTTTGAACAAATGAAGAACTGCATAGTTAACGTACCATAGAGCAGAAACTAAACAAAATGAAGCAACATAAATAAAAAACTCTGAAGCCATGTCACTCAACTTGTAGACAAGGCCATTTTCGTTAACGTCTACTTTTTTAGGAAATTTTTTATCAGTAATATCAAGAATAAGTATACAAGCAACTATGGCAACAGCCGCATCACTCATTATTTCAACTCGCTCTTTTGGAACATTACCCTTACAAAAATGATCCAAAAAAAGATTTTTTTCTGTTAGTTCCAACTTTTTCACTCGTCTCCGAACAAACCAATAAATTTTTCGGATTGTTGGTATGATAATCAACAATGCAATAAAAGCCCAAGACACACCGTAGTGAACTAAAACAAATGCACCAGCAATTATTATTAAAAAAAAGCTAACTAATGGTCTAAAAACCATTATAAGAATTAAGTCTTGAAGTTCAGACTTTGTCCAATTTTTTAAATTAACATGGAGTAGATTTGGCGAATGTATGGCGTACAAAACTATGACGATATCTATTACTTGAAGTATACCTAAAATAACGCAAGTTGTTAAAAATGAAACTTTCTCGCGAGGATAATGTCCTTGCAAAGCCAAAGAAAAAGGAAGGAAGGAAGTTACTAGCATTTCAAATATTACTAACGTCAGAATAAAGTCATCCACTCGTTTTATTACGATTGCTCGGTTGTTCATGTTTTCCCAAATTATAAGAACAATTTGAAACCCCACAAAATATTCAATTAATTCGCTGGAAATCGAGGCAAGAAACTGAAGCAGAGATTGTGTATCTTCTTGTAAATCTAAATTTCTTAAAGGAATGACTAGAAATGTGGCACAAGCCGCCATCATAGCATCAAAATAAGCAAGCATTCTTTTTAATGACGTTATGTCTCCTCGATGATAATCCTCTGGCAACGTTTTATCCACATGCTCGTCGTAGTATTTTTCTAAATGTTTATTATTGTTTTTAATCATAAAACTTTCATTTTGATTCAAAATTTTTTTTTTTGCATGAAGATTCATATTATTTCTGCAATTAAATACTAGTAGTATTTAATAAATTAGTACTTATTTTGTAGTATACTAAATAAATTGATTACACACACACACACACACACACACACACACACACACACACACACACACACACACACACACACACACACACACACACACACACACACACACACGCACACACACGCACACAAACATTCATGTATGTATGTGTGTGCTTGAACACACAAATATATTATGTAATTATTTACATACATTATGTATATAAATATAATATAAATAATATATATCTAAATATATATAAAAATTCGTATAAAAATACATATATATATATATATATATATATATATATATATATATATATATATATATATATATATATATATATATATATATATATATATATATATATATATATATATATATATATATATATATATATATATATATATATATATATATATACAGTATCGGACAAAACAAGTGCAACCAAATGCAAAATAATGCTAATTTATTTTCTTTATATAAAAGTGCTGCATTTTTTCAATTTAGAGAAATAACTGTGTAACTGTTTAGAGACAACGTTCTTCAAGTTTTATTCATCACAAAGTTCATTATTTGTACACGAAAATTAATAAATTAATCAAAAGTAATAAAAAAAGTTGGTTGCCTTCTCGACAAAACAAGTGAAACTCCACAAAATGTTAACCAAGCTGTGTTTCGCTATCAGAATTTTGTGGTGAGTCCTTTGTTGTCGATCACAGCTTTACATTTTTGAGGCATAGATTCGATCAGGTGATCAACGAAACTTTGTGGAATCGCTACCCAGGCCTTTTGGATTTGTTCAAACAGTTGATCCTTATTACGAACATCTTCACGATTAATTCTGTGGTTGACGATCTCTCACAGGTTATCGATAGGGTTGAGATCCAGAGATTGAGGCGGCCAATCCATACAAATAGGTGTTTGTCTTGAAACCACTGCTTGACTACTTTGCAGTGTGTTTCGGATCGTTGTCTTGCTCAAAATTCCATTTTATTGGCATATTCCATTCAGCACGAGATAACACAACATTTTTCAGGATATTTTTATACATTAAAGGGTCCATTATTCCATCGATTCGATGTATTGGACCTAGACCGTTAGCAGAAAAACACCCCCAGACCATTACATTGCCTCCACCATGCTTTACGGTCTTATGGCAGTAACGTAAATCGAGGCGTTTTCTGGCCGGTCGACGTACACAGCAAATGCCATCTCTCCCAATGATGTTGAACTTCGATTCATCACTGAACAGGACAGTTCGGCATTTCTGCACATTCCAGTCAATATGAGATGTAGCAAACAGGAGTCTTTTCTTCTGGTTCTTTAGTGAAATCAGCGGTTTCTTTGCAGGGCGTCGAGAAAACAATCCGGCTTAAACAGCACGTCGTCTGATTGTTCGGTCCGATACAGGCAGCTCTAATTGCTTTTGTATCTCGACTGATGATATCCAGGGATCCTTCTTAACGGATCTGATAATCATAGAATCCTCTCTAGAAGTGGTGGAACGCGGTCTTCCACCTTTGTTATCTGCTGCCAACTTCCCGTAGAACAATATTTGGAAGATAGTCTTGATACGGTCCATTTTTTCACGCGATATTTATCACAAATACTTTTTTGTGATGCTTCTGGAAGCTTCTGGATGCATCTGGATGCTGGTAAATGTTTTTGGAAGCTTCTGGATGCGTCTGGATGCTGCTGAATGTTTCTGGATACTTCTAGATGCTTCTGGATGCTTTCAGATGCTTCTTCTGGAAACTTCTAGAAACTTCTGTATGCTTCTGGAAACTTTTGGAAACTTCTGGATAATTCCATTAATTATCAAAAAAATTCCGTGACGTTCACAATGACCAGTCTTAAGGAAATGAAACAAACCAAAAAAGTTGCACCTTATTTGTCCGCTGCAAAATGGGACTTGTCAACGAAATTCTACCTGTGTGCTGTCACCTGTCAGCTGATTGCTCATGTCATGGCATGCTATGACTCCAGAATTCTGAACTGTTTGCTGTGGTAGTGTAGTTTGTTTCGTTTTTAAGACATGTAAAATTAGAAACACTTTTTAGCATTGTTCGATGTTGGTTGCAAATAATTTGTCCAATACTGTATATATATATATATATATATATATATATATATATATATATATATATATATATATATATATATATATATATATATATATATATATATATATATATATATATATATATATACTTTTTTTTACTACTTTTGTTACATTACTTTTGAGATTAAAATTTTATTTTTAATTAATAAAAATTAAAAGTAGTAATTTTTTTTTATTTAGGCGCCCCAAGAAGTCCTTACGGCCTTATCACAGAGCACCACAGATAAGCATTTAATAGGAAGTTCACGCCTCCTTCCTAACCAATGTCGTAAAACTTGCCCAGAGGTGGGATTTGAACCACGGATTCTATATTTTTAAGGTATGTGACACGGCTGCTTAAAAGTAATAACTACTTTTAATTTTCCAAGTTTTAATTGACAGTTTAATTAAAAACAATTTAGTTTAATTAAATAAAGTATTAATTAGATCAAAATGGATTTATAGTTTATTTTAATTATGGTTTCACAATATATTAAAGAATAACTTTGATCTGAAAAACATATTACAGTAAAACAAACAAATGAAAAAAAGTCACTGCTCATATAAAACTAAAATACATAAAAAATATTTGAATGTGAGACTACAATCGGAGGCTATTCTAGAAATAAAATTAGGGTGGGGAGGAGGGTTGGGAGGAGGGGGGAAAGGGGAAAATGAAAGAACCTTCAAAACCGTTTTTTTTAAAATCTGCCGACTGATATATGTCAAATGCCAACTTCCTGAAAAAAAAACATCCCCATCCACACGCATTTGAAAAATTTCCCATACTACAATCACAAAAAAATATTATTCTTAAAGTTAAACTTGAAACATACCTATATAAATATACAAATATTTTTACATATCATATAAACATTTTTGAACAAACCTAATGATGTAAGGGATTTTAAAAACGCTTAAACAGTAAACTTTAAACTCTCAAATTATACATCTTCATATTTAAAAAAAAGTTTATTTCATCCCCATTAATCTAATAATCACCCCCTCTGGTCTACTATTTATTACACCATTTTGATGTAACACATGCAGCTAATAATTATTTTGCATAATTTATGTATATAATATTTACAATATATAAATGAAAAAAAGTTTTTACATTTTTAATTCCT